GCTGCTTGCGTAAATCGTATTCCCTCAGAGTTTGTTCAAGTCCACAAACCTCTGTCTGTGACTGAGCCCCTCTGACATGGCTCCTCTTAGTCACTAGAAGATTCCGACAGTGGTTGCTTTCGTAATCGCTTCCAACATAAAAGCTCCTTAACGGAAACACGTCTTCTGGACTCTCTGCGTGACAGTTTCCGGCGAGGAGTGGGTGTCGCTACAGGAGGTCCGGAAACCTCACCACTGTTTTCGCTGGAAGTATCTCTGAGCCATCCCCCAGCTCCCTTTCCCTCAGTTCAGCTTCTCCCCCCTGCTGGTTTCCTCTTCAGCTGCTAAGTCTCTTCCAACCTGTCTGAGCCCTTTCACCTCCCTCAGTTCAGCTTCTCTCCCCCTGCTGGTTTCCTCTTCAGCTGCTAAGTCTCTTCCAACCTGTCTGAGTCCTTTCACCTCCCTTCCTACCGATGGCAGTTCCCTGACATCCACCTCCCCTCCAGGGCCCCCTTCACCCCCTCTCGCCCCCTCCTCTACGGGCGGTGAGGAGGCAAAACCCGGAATGAACTTCCTTCATCTTCCGATGTCTCGAACACTTCTCTCCACCTGTTGCGGTTCCTGGTCTCGAAGCACTCCTCCTCCTCCGAGTCCATCTCCCCTTCCCCTTCCGATTCTGGGAATCCTTCCAACTCCTCCTCCTCCTCAGTGGTCCCAAGTATTCCCTCCGGAACCTCTCCACAGGCTGAGGTTTCCGCGGGAACCTTTGATGGAACATTTCTATCAATACCTCGTCATTGATATCTTTGGCCATTACCCACGTGTTTTCTGACTCCGGTTCTCCTTCCCACGCTACCAAATACTCCACCTGATTCCCCTTCCACCTGGCATCAAGGATTTCTGCCACATGACTGCTGCATTCTCTTTCTTCTATGACCGGTCCCCGAGTGGCCATCCCTTCTCGTCCCCCCTCGTACGGTGACAGTAACGACCTGTGAAATACTGGGTGCAGTTTCATGTGGTTGGGTAACCGGAGCCTGAAAGCCACTGGGTTGACCTGTTGAATGACCTCAAAGGGACCCAACCTCCTGGGTCTTAATTTCTTACAACGTCCTTTGAGCGGCAACCCTCGGGTTGACAGCCACACCCTCTCTCCAACCCTTATGGTTTCACCTTCCCTTCGGTTCTTGTCTGCCTGCCTCTTGTATTCTTCCTTCGCCCTTTCTAAGTTGAGTTGGAGCTGACGGTGGATTGCTTCCATTTCTTCTACAAAATGCTCGGCTGCCGGTGCGCTCCATCTCTCCCCTTCTCCCCTGGGAAAGCCCTGGGATGACACCCATAATTAGCCAAGAAGGGGCTCATCCCTGTGGACACATTCTCGGCATTGTTGTAGGCAAATTCCGCCAGCGCCAACTTTTCTACCCAGTCATTCTCTCTGTCATTGACATAACACCTCAGGTATTGCTGGAGGACACCGTTTGCTCTTTCCGCCTGCCCGTTGGTTTCAGGGTGCCGGGCAGTCGAAAAGTTGACCTCCACCTGCAGTAAGCTCATGAGCTTCCTCCAGAACCTGGAAGTAAATTGTTTTCCTCGGTCTGAGACCACCCTCAATGGCACCCCGTGCAACCTAAAAATGTGTTCTACAAATAACTTTGCTGTCTCTTCCGCCGTGACTGCATGCGAGCAAGCTACAAAGTGGCACATCTTTGTTAGTAGGTCTACCACCACCATGATGGCTGTTTTCCCTTTGGACTCGGCAGATCAGTCATAAAATCTATCGACACTGCCTCCCAAGGTCGTTCTGGTGTTGGTAAGGGTTCTAATAGCCCCGCCGGCGCCCGCCTTTCCCCTTTGGCTCGCTGGCACTGCTCGCACCCTCTTACATACTCACGTACATCCTCCCTCACCTTAGGCCACCAAAATTCCCTGGTGACCAACCACATGGTTTTGTGTTGCCCAAAATGCCCGCCGTGGGGCTGTCATGCAACTGCTTGAGTACCCTCCCCTTAAGTCTCCTTCAGGGATATACAGTGCCCCTTTGTAATACAAAGCTCCATTTCTTTCCTCGAAACCCCTTGATTCCTCTCCCTCATCCCTAAGACCTCTAAGCTTATTCTGGGCGTATTCATCATTCTCTGTTTCTTCTACCAGTTCTCTTTGTCCCACCAATGCCGCCCACACACCCAGCGGTCCTCTGGAATGACATGTCTCTCTCGGGTGCTCCCTCCCCCTCCAAATATTCAGGTTTGCGTGAGAGAGCGTCCGCCCTAATATTCTCTGGGCCTGGCACGTAACAAATCTCAAAGTTAAATTTGGAGAATTCCTGAGCCCATCTCACTTGCCGTTGGTTGAGCACTCGTGCCGTCCTCCAATACTCTAGGTTCTTGTGGTCAGTGCACACTTGCACCTTATGTTGTGCGCCAATTAGCAGGTGCCTCCATCTCCGGAACGCCTCATGAATGGCTAGTAGTTCTCGGTCATACACCGTGTAGTTCCTCTCGGATTTGTTCAGCTTTCGCGAAAAAAAGCCCACGGTCTCCCCTCGCACGCCTCCTTCCCTGGCTGGAGACCCCCCGCCCCAACCGCTCGGTCTGACGCATCAGTTTCCACTCTCATCGGTTTTGTAAATCCACATGCAGGAGCTGTTGTTCCGAGGCGAAGGCCCTTTTAGTTCCTCAAATGCTTGCTCCGCCTCCTCCGTCCAAGCGAACTTCTTCTTACTGCTGAGACAGTCCGTAATGGGCGCCGTCAGGTGGGCAAAGTTTGGGATGAACTTACGATAGAAGTTCCCAAACCCTAAAAACCTCTGCACATCCTTCCTTGTTTTGGGTGTTTTCCATTCCAGTACCGCCTGGACCTTGCCGGGATCCATGGCCAACCCCTTGTCAGACAGGCGATACCCCAGGAATTCCACCTCCTTGGTATGAAACTGACACTTCTCCAGTTTCACCCACAGCTGGTTGGCTTGCAGCCTGCTCAACACTTCTCTGACGTCTCTCACATGCTGCTCCTCATTCTCAGAATACACCAACACGTCGTCTAAGAAGGCCACACAATTCTTGTAAAGCAACGGCCCCAGGACGTGGTTCATAAACGATTGAAATGTTGCGGAGCCTGCTTGTAGACCGAAGGGCATAACTAAGTATTCAAATGCCCCTAAAGGGGTGAACATGGTGGTTTTCCATTCATCCCCCTTCCTTATTCGTATCAGGTTGTACGCCCCCTTAGATCCAGCTTGGTGAAAATCTTTCCCTTTCGCACCCTTGTCAAAATGTCGTCAATCCTGGGCATCGGGAAGGCCACTGGTTCTGACACTGCATTTAAGGCCCTGAAGTCACACACCAGTCTCGGCTTGTTCGTGTTTTTGTCCACAAAAACACTGGGCTGCCCCACCGCCCTGGACTCTCTGATGAACCCTCTCTTCAGGTTCTTGTCAATGAACTCTCTTAGCTCCTGCATCTCTCTGTCTGACATGGCGTACAGCTTGCCCACAGGGAGCTGTGCCCCAGGGAGCAAATTGATTTGACAGTCAAAGGCTCTATGCGGTGGTAGTTGGTCAGCTTCCCTTTCGCTGAAGACGTCGCGGAGATCTGCGTATTGTCGTGGTACCTTCACGTTCTCCTTCACTTCAGTCCCTGCTAGGGTGGCTTGGGCCCCTGCCAAAACCTTTCCCTCTTTGCAATGTTCTAAGCAATGTGCTGACCCAAAAGAAACCACTCTCTGATGCCAGCCCACCAGCGGATCATGTAACGCTAGCCAGCTCATCCCCAATATAATGGGAGCTCCTCCCAAGGTGGCCACA